CCCTTTAAAGTTGTTCATATATCTTGACCATGAACTGAAATTTTTGACGTCTGTTCCCTATTATCCTCTTGACAAACTCAGGTGTTATTTTTAATTTACCATAAACTTATAATGGAAAGTTATTGATCGTTTTAATTTTCAATTTGAAATGAAAATAAGAATTTGACTTTAATTGTGAACTTGTTGAACTAAGTGTAACTATGTATTATTTCTATTAATTATTTGTGTTGATGTAGACAGACGTCCATTACTGATATTTGATTTGATGAAATTCTCTAATATTCCTGACATTTCTATTAATCTATTCAATATTTATTCTCATTGGTTTCTCACAAGTTTATTTTCATTTTATTCTTACATTTTATAAAAATGGTTTTTAATTTTATTGTGTTTATTTTTCTTACGGTGTACATGACTTTGAAATAAATTAATCTAAGTGATATACCCAAAATAATACTTTATTAGTTACTGATAAGAATGTCAAGTTAATAAACTTGAATTCCAGATAATAATGTGAACTCTCTGAAAGAGCTGTCAAGTTAAATTGTCCTTTTACAAACCCCCAAAATATTGCTGCATTGTTAGGTAAGGTGAAATGAAGAGTTGACAAAGTAAATTGTAGTCTAGGTTAATGGACAATGAATAATCAACTCTATATCTTCTATTTTTACAGATCTGAAACAGGAGTGGTTATGGCTACAGCTTATTTTACTAAATGTTTAAAAGTTGTCTGTTCACCACCATTATTAATAGGTATGTTTGACTTATCTTTATAAGAAATTAAATGTGCCCGTAATGTCCAAAATCATTAGTACCTTGATATAGTGTGAATGTGAACTCGTGTGACACGAGTAAGACTAGCTGGTCTGACCAAGTCTACTTCCCAAGAGCATTGTGGGAGAAACCTCGTGCATTGAAAGGAACATTTCGATTTTGTTTTTCACCGCATTTCTGTGGTCTTTAATTGTGAATTTGTGAACTATGTGAACTTTTGTGAAATGTATGAACCCTATGTGAAATGTATGAACCCTATGTGAAATGTATGAACCCTATGTGAAATGTATGAACCCTATGTGAAATGTATGAACCCTATGTGAAATGTAAGTCTTTATGAATAATATATGTAAAAAGTATAAAGGTGACTTTTGTTATTTTCAATGTAGCCTGTGAAACCACGGAGGGCGCGTTCTAAATTATTGATTTGCCTTCTTTTTCTCTGATGCTTTTTAATTTCCATGAAGGTATTTCCACAGTGCCCTTTACAAGGTCATTAAAGTGGTATTTCTCACTGACTTCCCCTATTTTAATCCTGACAGAAAATCTTCAAGGGACCGTGATTGTAAAATTCAGTTACCATTTGAGTACAAGTAACTAATGTAGGGTTTGAAATATAGAATGGAACTATTTGTATATGAGTAACAGAATATTTGGCACAATTACTTTAAAGGGACAGATGCTCCATTGTTTGACCAATCATACT